TTATATGATTAAATTGTTACATAGCCTTAATATTAATCGTTATGTTTTCCTTATTTAATATATTTTATTTTATAGTTTATGTTATAAAATAGAGAATCTTAAAGAGTAATAATAAAGAAAACAACAATTTAAAATCAATAATATGATATAAGTAATATTGTTAAATTAATTAATATATATAATATTATGAATCTCAAAAAATAAAAAAAATTATTAAATAATATAAAATTTATATTTTAATATTTTAAATAATATAATTTATTAATATTAATTTTAAATTTTAAATTTGGATGCCATTTATTATTATTCTTTCGTAAATAATGGTTTATACAGTTGGATGCGCGTTGGGCCAAAAGGCAAGACATGTGTCAATTGTCTCTGTGTTTTTTTGTTCCGATTCCACAACTGTTTTGTCTCATCCATACATATCCCATTTGCATTGCTGTCTGTATGTCTGGTTAATGGGTCGCTGTCTAATTGCTCTGGCTTGCATATGATGCCAGATTCACGGCACAAGAATGTTTTTGTCACTTCTTTTAGATTTTTTTTTTAATCTCTTTGGGCCGTCATCACTTCTCTTAGATTGGATTAATCATTTTTTTTTATAAGAAATTTGTTTTTATCAATCATTTATTGAAACTAACGGAGACTTGTTGATTTCAAGTGGAAAGAATTTAGTTTCTTTTAAATAAAATATTAAATTTGAGTGTTATAAATATAATAACAAGTGTTGAGAGAATTTTTTTATGAGGTTTAATGTAACTTGATTTTAAATTAATCAAAATTTAATATAATTATCAGATACTAAAATGTTAACAGACAAAATAAAAAAAAAATTGTTGAGTGTTGACATTTGTTTTTTTAATTAATCATGTAAAATGTAATAACCATGTTGGTTAAGGTTGAGGTTCAATTTCTTGTCAAGGTTCATTTGTTTACAAATTCCCACTTCATAATGATCAAGTTAAAAAATCTCATTGTCACCAAAAAAATAAATAGTTTAATGACAAATAAAATCGCTTAGTAATTATAAAATAAGTAAAGAATAACCAAAATATTTTATTTTAATAAATAAAATCTAACTTGAGTAAAGGTGTAAATGTAGATATTAACTTTACATTTTTTTATTGAAAAATGTTAACTTTGTAATTTTAAAAAAATCAATTTTTAATTTTTTTATTTAATAATTAATTAAATAGTAATGTTGATATGACAAACGTATTTTTAATCACAATGTTAAAAGTTAGTATTTTTAAATAAAAAAATTAAAAATTATTATTATTATTTAAAAACTAACAAATTTAACATTTTTAAATAAAAAAAATCAAATTAATATTCTTATTTATACTTTTTCTCAATCCAATTCTTTTGAAACACTAAACTTGCATTATTTATGAGTTAGTTGCAGGCTAAAATATTAGGAAGCCTAACAACTAAGGAGAGGCTGGTATTGACCAAATACAACTTCTAGTAACAGAAGACTAGGGTTACTTAAAGGAACCTAACCTCCATCAAGGATTAACTAACCATGGTTAGGCTCGAAGAGTCAGTGCCTCAGAAAAGACAAATCTT